GGCTGATCCTGGGATGCTGAATGAATGTTTTTACAAGCCTTTCCGCTTCCTTATAATTATTTTTGGGTTATTTGCACCATGGATAAAACTGACTTTCATTGCCAGTCCCTAGTTACCCTTTCAACAGCTGGTGTTGGACCAACCTTTTTGATCTGTCATAGTTTGTGCAGTGAATGTGTTCCCACATTCCCGTTAGGGAGAGAGCTCCAGCGTTTTGACCCAGTGACCAAGTTAGGATGATGTATGACTGAACACTTTGGTAATCCCCTGACCCTCACCTGGCATTGACAAGTGTTTTTGGTAATTCACTCTGTTCCATTAACAAGGGATAAACGTTGGCAGATTATGCCAATGGTTACAAAATCAGGAGAATCTCACACTCTGTGGAATTTCCAGACAGGGACATGCATCCCAACCAGTGCTCTATCAAAGACTCAAAATTTTATTTTATTCATTCCCAGGATGTAGGTTGTCACTGACTGAGTCAGCATTTATTGCCCGTCCCTAGTTGCCCCTTGAGAAGGTGGGGGTGAGCTGCCTTCTTGAACCGCTGCAGTTCATGTGCTATGGGTTGAGCCACAATGTCCTTAGGGAAGGAATTCCTGGATTCTGATCCAGCAACGCTGAAGGAACGGCGATATATTTCCAAGTCAGGATGGTGAGTGGCTTGGGGGGGAACTTGCAAGGGGGTGGTGTTCCCGTGTATATACTGCCTTTGTAAGTGGAAGTGGTTGTGGATTTATGTCAAAGGAGCTTTGGTAAATTTCTGCAGTGCATCTTGTAGATGGTATACACTGCTGCTACTGAGCATCGATGGTGGAGAGAGGGGATGTTTGTGGATGTGGTGCCAAGTTTTCTGTCAAACTTCTTGAGTACTGTTGGAGCTGCACTCATCCAGTGAAGTGGGGAGTATTCCATCCCACTACTGACTTATAGGCAGTCTTTGGGGACTCAGGTGGTGAGTTACTTGCTGCAAGACTCATAGCCTCTGACCTGCCCTTGTTGCTTTAGCTTTCATATGACTGCTCCAAATCAGTTTCTGGTCAGTGGTATCCGTTAGGATGTTGATAGTGTGGGATTCTGAATGGTAATGCCATTGAATGCCAAGGGGTGATGGTTAGATTCCCTCTGGCTGGAGATGATCTTTGCCTGGCATTTGTGTGGCATGAGCTTCATTGGGTAAACACAAACTGCCAAAAAGCTGATAAAGTTCAAGCAAAGACTGAAGGTTAATGCTCAGACTGAAACAACAGCAGAATACAGTGGGTGCTGGAGATTTGAAATAAAAACAGGAAAACGTTGGAAATCACAGACAATTTACACCTTCCACCTGAGATGTATTCAGTTTAAACAAGAGTAGGGACAGGATGAAGGAGGAAGTGGAGGAAAGAATGAAAGGGAGCATCTGTGATAGGGTTGAAAGAAAGTGAGAAAACATGATAATCGGAGGAATAAAGAAAGAAAGAAGGGGTTTAGAAAAGATGTAAGTGGCACCTGTGGGGTAATTCCTAACATCTCCTGCGCACCCAAATGAAAGTAGCATTATTCCAGCATTGCTGACTGACTATAAATTTTGATGCAGCCTGCAGGTGCTGAGGAGCAGGGATAGAAAATTGTACTAAGGATGAGTTTGATTGCAGTTGGGTTTCCATTCTGCCTATGGCTGACTCTGCTTGTCCAGGGACATCGCTGAGACAATGATTTTGAGCCAAGTGCTGGGTAAGTACTTTGAAAAGTGCAGTGGTTCCAATTAGGAACATGGCTACTGCTGGGGTAACATTGGCAGAGGGATTGGACCTATTGGAAGCTTGCTATGTTGCAGTGCTGTGATGGCACCTTGGAGGAGGATTAGACCCATGCTCAAGAAAGCCATTGAATGATTTTTTGGCATTTCAGGCTGCGCTCTAAGGTGGCATCAGGGACTTGGGTCAGTTAAACTGAGTATCTGCAATCCAGTCAAAACCTGGCTAACTGAGACCAGCTCCGTCACAAAGAAATGCAGGAAGTCACAAGAGGGGTGAGGCAGTGGAGGGATGTGAATACAAGGAAGGAGTTTTAAAATTGAGCCCATGTGGATCAGAGAATGATGGGTAAGTGGACATGGATCAATTTGTGGAAGAGAGCAGCAGGGACCAGTGTAATTTCAGGGAAGGCAGATGGTGGAATCTATGAGAGCCCATTGAAATAGTCAAACAGAGTGATACAGTCAGAAGAAGTGAGAGTTTCAATTGGAAACAGAGAAGAAAAAAAACGTATATTTCTGTAGTGCCTTTCATGACCTCAGTGTTTTACAGCCTCTGCGGTTCATTTTGAAGTGTAGTTACTGTAGTAGTGTGGCTCACAGCAAGTTACCCCCAAATGGTAAAGTTACAATGTCTCAGTGATATTGATGATGAGCTGGTGCCGGTGTTGAACTGGGGTGGGCAAAGTCAGAATTCACACAACACCAGGTTACAGTCCAACAGGTTTATATGAAATCACAAGCTTTCGGAGCGCTGCTCCTTCGCAGGTGACAAAGGAGTGAGGCTCCAAAAGCCTGTGACTTCAAACAAACCTGTTGGACTATAACTTGGTTCAGAGATAGTAGGAACTGCAGATGCTGGAGAATCCGAGACAACAAG